CTCTCTTCTCTCTCTCTCTCTCTCTCTCTCTCTCTCTCTCTCTCTCTCTCTCTCACACACACACACACACACACACACACACACACACACACACAGTGAGATCCACTCCCTTGGCAATATTCCACATATACAAAACCCCAATCACAGTCAGTTGTCTGCTGTTCCCCAGGCTCTGGTATGTGTACCTGTTGTAGCAGAATGATTCTTATACATTCTGGCCAATCTATTTCTCAAATAGAAAACTAAGGACATCAGTCTCAGGTTAAAACCCTCCTATGGATCCTTATCATCCTTATTGTCCTAGGGTAAATTGAAAAGTCCCTCTGCTGAGAGACAGATGCATTCTAGAAAGACCAAAACTTGTGGCAGAAAATGGGTTTTACAAGACAATAAAAATGTAAAAATTTTTGTGTTGCTAGAGGACTCCAGGGCCATGTAGGTTATAGATGCTGAACTTGGGGTTTCACTGGGGTGTGGCTGGGGGGGGTCATGTGTGGGTATGGATGGGGTATTCATGAGTGGAAGGGCATATATAATGCCCATATGTGCAGAGACAAGATCAGAATGCCCAGTGTCTTGCTCACCGTTCTCCATCTGTCACTGAACCAGAGCCCACCATTTTGGTAAGTCTGGCTGGCCAGTGTGCTCTTGGAAACCACCCCTCCCCATCCCCACCCCCACCCCACCCCACCCCCATCTTCACCCTTCAATGTTGTAGATATGAGCAGCCATGTCTGGCTTTTTACAAAGGTGCAGAGGATTTGAACTCATCATGTTTACAGAGCAAAGGCTCTTACCCATTGAGCCGTCTCCCCGCCCCCAACCCCCACCCAGAATATGGTTTACTGTAACCTTCCCGACCTGCTTTCTGCTGTGTGTGCGTCTCACTGTCAGATGGGCTATGCTCTCATGGATGCAGCTCCAGCCCCACGTGCCTCTTGTTAACACCCAGAACAGGGTGGATCTTTCATCAGGAGATCCTATTCAGAGGTGAACATGTTCTGGCTGCAGCCTCTCGGGTAGAGAAGAACCTGGCTGCACCCTTCAAGACTCAGGCTATCTTACTTAGGCTCTGAACTGAGAGCTAGTATCCCTTCCGGGAGGAAGGGAGAAAGGGAGAGTGGGGTTGGGAGGGAAGAGAGGGAGGCAGGGAGGGAGAAGGAGTGGGAAGTCACATTCAAAGTTTCAAGGGCATAGAACCTGAGAAAGTGGATAGGTAGAATTCACACACACACACACACACACACACACACATACACACTGTCTGCTGTGCCCCAGGTGGCATTATCCATGAAATAAAATGGTCTATTAGGCTTATCTGTCCCTCTCATGAGTAGCCTGTAATTAAATAACTGCCTTTTAAAAATCTTGCTATTTTGAAAGAAAGCCATTTGAGCATTTTTCCTTAGCTGATGAATTACACGGACCAGTGGTCCTTGATAAACAGGCCTGTTCTAAGCCAACACACGAGGAAAAACCACTTCTGAAACAATTGATGGGGGATTAGATTCCACGTCTCAGGCCTCACTCGGTGACCAAGGAGGAGGGTGAGCCTTACCCCACAGCACGCAGGATTCTGTTCTCCACAGGAAGCAGAGCCCTGACGACAAGGACCAGCCAGAGCCTGGCTGTAAGACTGGACTTTCAGCGGGTATAAGATCCAGTAGGGACACTTCTGGGAATATGTTAGACTTGGCTTTTCCCAGGAAATGCACTGTTGCTGCATGCGCTGAGACACGTAAGCCAAAAGAGAGAAGACAAAACAGCTCTCTGTGGTGACCACATCTCCTAAGCTCCTGTCAGGACCAGAGGTTTTCCCTCCTGCTTCTGAGCCTGATCATGGCTGCAACGGTCCCGATGCTGACTTCCCTAACAAACTTATTTCTACAGGGTAGGTAATTCATCTCCACTTCCTTCCCACGGAACCCGCCACATCATTTATATAACAGATGTCAATGTATTTTTTTAAGAGAACATAATTCAATCCAAGTCTACCCTCTAGCACCCCCCCCCCAAAAAAAAGCTTGTCATTTCCACAGCCAAATACTTCAGAATGCTGACTCACTCCTGCATCAAAAAACCTCATCTAAATCGGTTCCTGGTGAGACGTGGGTATGGTTCACCATGGGGAAAATCTCTTTTCCATATGGAGTCTACGGAATTAAGAAAGCAAGATACACACTGTGGTTAGCATTAACTATAACCTTTGAATAACTCAGCATCACCTGAAAAGACAGGAGAGAGACAGAGACAGAGAGACAGAGACACACACAGAGAGAGGGATAGAGAGATACAGACAGAGATGGAGGAGTCTCAGTTAGCAATTGTCTTATTGTGATGGTCCATGGACATGTCTATGAGGAACTGCCTTGACTGTTCACTGACACAGGAGGGCCAAGCCCACTGTGGGCATCACCATTCCCTGCGCTGTATAAGAAAGCTAGCTGACCTGGAGCAAGCCAGCAAGCAGAGTCCCTCCATGGTTTCAGCTTCAAGACCTTGCTGGAGTTCCTGCCCTGACCTCCCTCGACGACCTGAAAGTTGAAGTCAAATAAAACCCTTACCCCCACCCCCTACAACCACTTTTCATCCGAGTGCTTTATCACAGCAACAGGAAAGAACCAGTTCAGACCACGAGTCAGTGAGAGGACTCAGGTTTCACCAGCTCAACGTACCCGCACCTGAGTGCACACCTTCTGGCTCTGCTGGCTCTGACATGCTCTTAAAGTGACAGTGACCTAGGCGGGCACAAGAGAAGGAATGTGGACAGTCTGCATTATCTGGAAAGCGGCACGCGGCATTTCTGCCTGTATTCCATGTACAAGAAGAAATGCTAAAGACCCAGTGGGTTATAAAGGAGTTCAGCGGTGGGAACAGGAAAAAAAAAAAAAAAAAAAAAAAAAAAAAAAAAAAGAGGAAGGACTTAATACTGATGAAAATCAACGGCTTCTCACAGGATCAAGAGGATGATCAGAAGGCAAAAGGTATGGACTCTGCAGCCCATGTCCTGTGCAAGCTCCCTTCCCCCACCTAGCAACCAAACAGAAGGTTCTAAGTCAAGAAAAAAGAACAGAGAGAGCTACAGGATGAAATAAACCGAACACCTCGGTAATGCCCCTGCCTCAGCCGCTCCACACCAGACGAAGACCCCTGATGAGTACAGGTACTGTCTGGTAGACCTTAAGATTGGGGAGTTGTCTGCTGCCCATGGGGTGACTGTTTAACTGACAGGGGTCGGGGGAGGGGAGCCAGCAATAACACTCCTTAGGAAACATCGAGCCCGCTACACAAAATTCAGCTTCTTATTGTAAAAGCACAAAACTCGAGGTAAACTCCAGACTTCATTAAAGGGATCATGGCTGTGCCTCGACCCATCTCCACCTTCTGGTCACTAAGGGAGTTGACTATTTCTGGTGTCCCACCTGAATCCCAAGGCTCTCTGATATTTATAAGACTGTCGGCACTCAAGCAGCTGGAATCACCAGACAAACCAGGGACTGAGGTAACCAAACAAAATCTCAATCTCAGACACCAACCTAAATTCTTGCAGAAGCCTCAAGAACCTTCAGTCAAAATAAGACATCAAGTTTGTTTTGTTACCGGCCCTGTTCATTGTCAAAACATTTGCATATTTAAACCCTTTCTTATTAAAGAGGGGGGAATCCTTTTTTTTTCTTCTCTATAGGCCATTTGCTTTAGTGTTGTCAAGCCAATAAGAGGAAAACTCCACTGACACTTATTCTAATATGTGACTTAACACACGTATGCATGAGGCCATACATTAATGCCGAACTAATTCTCCTTATAACTATAAGCCTAGGTATCCCCCTCTGGTAGGCTGAAGGAAAGGTTGTTAATGAAAGATATTTAATCTACCCTTCTTCTCTAGTTCTGCTGTTCTCATGATCACCCAGGCATCCACATCCTACCATATTCAGTAACCAAAAGAAATGTATGGAAAGATCAGAAAGATTGGCCATAATCACTTCTGCAGTTAATAACTAGACCCTATGGGGGCTGAAGAGATGACTCAGGAGTTAAAATCACTTGTTAGTCTTGCAGAGGACTCGAGTTCGATTCCCACCACCCACATGGTGGCTCACAAACATTTGTAACTCCAGTTCCAGGGGATCAGACACCCTCTTATGGCTTCCTTGAATACCAAGCACACACATGGTACACATATATGCATGCAAGTAAAACACCCACACACATAAAATAATATAAGTAAATCATAGGAGAGGATGAGGAGGAAGAGGAAGAAGGGAGAGGAGGAGGAAGAAGAAGAAAGAGAGAAAGGAAGGAAGGAAGAAAGAAAGAAAGAAAGAAAGAAAGAAAGAAAGAAAGAAAGAAAGAAAGAAAGAAAGAAAGAAAGAAAGAAAAAGAAAGAAGAGGAGGAGAAGGAGGAGGAGGAAGAGGAAAAAGAAGAGGAAGAAGTAGAAGAAGAAAAAGGAGGAAGAAGAGGGAAAAGAAGGAGAAGAGGAAAAAGAATAAGAAGAGGAAGAAGAGGAGGAAGAGGAAGGAGGAGAAGAAGGAAGAAGAAGAGGAGGAAGAAGAGGAGGAGGAAGAAGAGAAAAAAGAAGAAAGAGAAGATAGCTATGATGATGACCCTATGGAAGCCACAGAAATACTGCATTTGGTCTTTCTGGACTTTCTACTCAATTTGCTTTGAAGGAGATGGTAGGTTAAGTGTGTGTCTGTGTGTGCGCGCGCACGCATGCGCGTGCACTCACTGTATATTATTAATCCCGTAGTGGGTAGGCAGACAGGTGGATCCTGAGGCTTGTGGACAGCCTATCCAGCCTAGTTTGTCAGCTTCGGGCCAGTGGGAGACTCTGTTTCAGATGAAGTGGATGGCACTTCTGAGAATGATTCCAGTCCTTCAACCTCCACCTATATGTGTGCACAACTGCGCATCCACGCAGGCATGCATTAAAAAAAAATGAAATTTGGAAATGCAACAAAGAAAACTCCCTTCCAGCTGGGGGTGGGGAGGTATTGCTTCTCCAGAGAATAGCTCCCTCTGAAGAGAAAGACAAACAAAAGGCTTAGCCAAGAGCCTTTGAAACATAAACTGCCAAGCCAGGGCCAGACCTCCTCTCTGGTCACAATTATCTCCTTAACATGGCTCCACATTTTATCCCTTGGGACCTGAGTTTCCCCTTCCTCATAGCCCCGCCATCCTCTAGGCCTAAGAACCCAAACATCCAGCCAAGAGATGGGGGGAGAAAGCACATGAAGGGCAGGCCAGGAGGCTGCCAGCAAGCTAGCCATATACACAGACCATTCCACTGACCAGGACTCAGTCCGTGGATGCCAGACAATATCACTGTGCTAGATTCCAGGAGACAAAGGCAGTGTTCGATAACCAAGTTGGATAACCAAGTAGGCAGTCTTTACAGAAATTTCAGCCATTGGTGAGCACTGTCGGCACATGGAAGAAGATGGCACATGTATATGAACTATGTATGCCTGAGTGTGTGTGTGTACTTGTATAGAAGGGTGTGTGCAGAGGGGATTGTGGTGTGTGTGTGTGTGTGTGTGTGTGTGTGCGCGCGCGTGCATTGGTACTAGTGACCCTTTTTTAAACTGGGTTTCTTTCTTTTATCCTCATGTATTATGCCACATGTCTTAGTTCTGGATCTGGCTTATGATTTAATACACATTATCCACGTTCCATCCAGTGTGCAAATTGACTCTGGAAACACCTGTTGGACACCCAATGATGTGCTCTTTCTGCCGTTATTCCAGAGAACTTAAGGGTGAACCCCTTTCTGTGAAGCTTGGGAGACAAAAGAAGAATGAAAGAAATCAGGTACAACATTGTCTCAAGTGATTTGGGATGGGGGGCGGGGAGCATGGAGATCAGAAAACTGTGATATGAACACTGAGCCCAGGCTGAACACACAATGGGGACATTCACCTTCCTAGAAACCCCCAAAAACATACCTGCAGCTTTAGGCTTAGAAGTACCCTTATATAGAAAGGTCAAAAAAATCAATTCAGAGTCTGTTGAGACGTTGAAAAGAAAGCCTTTGCCTCCGCTCTCAGTGGAAGAGACTGCAGTAAAATGGGTTATGGATGTGTACGACTATTGATAGAAACAGATTTAAAGAAAAAAGACCTTGATTCATCGGCTTTGATCTGAAATCTTTATTATGGCAAATGGTGGTTATTAGATAAAGATGCTGTGCACATCCTCTGTTCAGTCACAATGGCACTTTCAACCCATTTCAGCTGGTTACACGTTCATGGATTAAAAGCCTTTTAATAATATCTACTACAAAAAAAATTTGTTCTCTCCCAGGGCAAGGTGGTAGCAAACTGGCTGTATGGCCATTATCGGAAGCCTGGGCCAGAAAGATAATGGCCCCAGCTTTATAAGGCAGGTGGGAGTGATCAATTATGTCCCCAACAACTGACAGCTCTGTCCCATGATCAGCAGGAGTGCTGGGGTTAGCCTGGATTTCAGGGAGAGCAGACACACACTTTGCCCTCTGGCCTGTCCAGGAGCAGTTTTGTCTCTTGTGACAACGGGCATGGTCTGCTAGGAGCTCTGTGAGGCGACTTCATGGAAACCAGGGAGTGAGAGAAGAGAGGCAGGGTCTTCTCTGGCTCACAGGCAGGAGGTCAGAGACCAGAGCACCTGCCTCTAGATGAGTCAAGAGCCACTACTCCCACCACGTGCATATGAACTTTGCTGGGGTCTCTATGGTCATGTTCTCCTTCTGTCCATCATTTCCTACCAGAATCAGAAGACACCATCTAGAGTAGCACATGAGAAGCAGGCCAGGCATGGAGTGAAGGATAAGATTCAGTAGCATCACACACTCATGCATACACACACACACACACACACACATGCATATACATATATATACATATATATACACACACATATATACATGCATGACACACATTCACATGCATACACAGTGCACACAGTAACACACAAATGCATTTGCATATGCATGAACATGCACACATATGTGTGTATACACATGAACACATTCACAATTTTATAAAAACACATACACATATATGTGTGTGTGCATTTAGTTATGTACATGTGAAGTATTTGTGTGTGTATATATACATACATATATATATAAATCCTAGCTTGTGTGGCAGTATTTTTTATTCCAACATCTGATTTCTTTCAGTACTCACCCTAGAAAAAGGGAGCCATTTGGTGCCCGCCCCTAAAGCCTTTCATTTCAAACATATGGTTGGAGGCAGGGAGGTAGCTAAGTCAACAAAGTGTCTGCCTCACATATTAGTTTGCTTCTCTGTTGCTGTGATGAAAACACTCTAGCTGAAAACAACTTGGGGGAGAAAGTGTTTATTTGGCTTACACTCCCGGGTCACAGTCAAGCTTTGAAGAATGCTGCTCACTGTTTTCTCACTGGTCCATGTTTAGTTTTCTTGCTCATAAAGCACAGACCCACTGGTCTAGGAATGGTGACACCCACGGTGGGCTAGGTCTCATCAATCATCAATCAAGACAGTCTCTCATGGACTTGGCCACAAGCCAATCAGATGGAGGCAATTCTTCAGTTGAGGTTCCCTCTGCCTAGGTGACTCTGGGTTGTGTCAAGTTGTCAATCAAAACTAACCAGAACACCTCATAAGCATGAAGACCTGGTTTTGATCCCCAGAACCCACTCAAAATATGAGTGATGCAGGTTCTAATAGCAGTTAGGGAAACAGAGACAGGATCCCTGGGACTTGCAGCCACCCTGTCTGGCCTAATTGGTTATCTCCAGGCCAATGAGAGACTCTGTCTCCAAAACACAGGGTAGATTGTGTCTGAGGATGACACCTGAAATTGTTCTCTGGCTTTCCCCACATGTGGACACACATACACCCACCTGCACATACATACACATCTATGCAGACACACACACACACACACACACACACACACACACACACACACACACACATGCACACATATTAGATAAATAGATGATACTAGATAGATAGATTAGATAGACAGACAGACAGACAGACAGATGGTACACAGAGCATTGTAGTTGAATGCATGTACTACAGAACAATCTGGAGGTCTCTCTCCCCTATCAGAACATAACCTGTGTTATAAGGCGACTCACACCTTCCCCACAGGAAACATGCATCAAATTCCAGCAGAGAGCTGGAAACAGATGTTTACATTTTCCTTGTGCCTTCACGGGTCAGCACTGCACATCACAAGATGAAAAATGTGCCACCGTAATGAAGTGTTAATTTCGTTGTAGTGGAGATTAAAAGAGCATCACTTTAGTTAGCACAGAGGGAGCTGTAACCGGTGACTACATTTGACCCAAACTTCACTGAGCGCCAAAGCAGGAACTGTAGGTCCCAGGAGCCCTGAGCTCAGCTCAGGGATCCAGGAGAGTGGAAAGCTCCCCTCCCCACACTGGCGATATTTTTCTTTTAACTTTAAGCAACGTTCTGTGCTCCCTGTGGTCTCCCTGCAACCAGGGAGGTCATTAGAGTAGTGTGGATTCCTGGAGCATTGATCTGGCCAAAGCTAACCAGGGTTGATGTGGATTGTAGGATGGCCTGCTGAGGTACAGACCAGCACACAGGTGCAGGGATGAGGGACAAGAGGAAGGAACACCCTCCCTTCCCAGTGTCCTCCAGACCCTAGGTCCAACATCCAACGTCAGCTTCGCTCTGTTCGCACGGGAGCCAACATTGCTTCTTTCAGTAGCCACCCAGTTCCAGCTATGTTCACATAAGGCAACTCCGGTTACGTTGTAACCTACATACATGACTAGCAGCTAGTGTTGTATGACTTCTCCTGGGTAGACCTGAATGGTGTGCATTCACCCAAAGATGCCACGGACAACCAACAGTTCCAGCCAAGTCCAGTTAATCACGGCTGCTCATGGGAGTTATGAGTGGTTCAGACAACCACATCCGTGGAAAGCCCACCCGAGCATGGGTGATGCTCAGGAAAGCTACGTCCTTGAAGCTCTCGGCCCAACTTGATGGCAGCTCCACCCAAGAACCCCGTTTCATCATGGTTGCTCCTCACCCTACCCGGGCAATTGTTCTCTGCTTATAACTTTGGAGAGGGGCCCGTGAGTGTGAAACCTTCCGAGCTTCCTTCCTCCCTCCAGCAGCGAATGCTTCAGTTCAGATGGAATCCTAACACGGCCCACGAATAAACAAATGTCCAGAGGTCCTAAAGCAACATTCAGTCCGTGAAACTAAAGCCAGAGCAAAACAGTTCTTGCTGAGCGCTCGCTCTGCTTTGGAGAGTGAATGCCCCCAAAGGCCCCTGTGCTAAGGGAGAGGGTGTTGTTGGGAATGGTCTTTGTTACCCCAGCAACACTTCCTACAGCCTAAGGCACTCTGCTTGAAGCAGCCAGGATCTCTCTCAACTCCCCCACCTTGAAGGAGGAGATGTAAGAAGCCCAGAGAGGAGAAGGGCTAAGCTTGCGCAGGGGAGCAGGGGAGCCACACCTTATGTTATGGCTTCTAGCTTGGTGTTCTTGTGGAATTCCTAGACAGTGTTTCACTGTCTCTTTTGCCTGCACTTAAGACTCTTTTCCTCCCATTGGGTTGTCTGATCCAGCCTCAATAGGAGGACTTTTGGCCTTGTCTTATGGTATGTTATTCTGTCTTGTTTGGCTGTCATCTCTTGGGAAGCCTACTCTTTTCTGAAGAGGAAATGAAGAAGGAGTGGATCTAGGGGGAGGAGAGGTGGGAGAGGGAGCTGGGAAGAGTGGAGGGAGTGGAAACTGTGGTCTGGGACACATTGTATGAGAGAAGAATCTACTTTCAATCAAATAAATTAAAGAAAGAAGGAAGGAAGAAAAGAGGGGGAGGGAGGGAGAGGGGCGGAAGGGAGGGAGGGGGAAGGGAAGGAGGAAGGAAAGGAGGGAGAGAAAGCTGAAGTTTATCTGAGCCCAAGAAACTACATCTCCCAGATCTACCCCTGCCCTGGGTTACTTCATCATTTGCTCAAAATTGCAAACCATGTGCAAAGGGGGTCCAGAGTGCTGCTAACCAAAACAGAGAAAGCACGGAGTAAAGAAGATGCCCCAATGGGAAAGGCAGTCCAGAGTGGGCTGGGCTCAGCTCCATGCCTCCGGGGCCACTGCCTCCTCCCATCTCCACAGAGTGGACTCACCTTCACCTGCAGAAGTCCACCCGTTCTGCCCCTTTAAGCACCTTTGACAAGCACCCAAGAGGCAGGCCGTTGATGGACTGCCTACACCCACAGCCATCTATCCTCTGTGCTGAACTAAACAAGACGTGAAGCTCTGGATAAGGGAAGAGAGAGAGGGCTCGCCCAGCCGGGAATGGTCATCAGAGCTCTGCACACAGAGACCCACACCAAATCCTCAGACAGTGATGAACAGCGAGAAGGGATGGAAGGAGGGCCTCGGTGAGCAGGGCTGTGGCTCGGCAGATCTGCCTTTTGTCTAGCATGATGACAGAGGAATGGATAGTCATGGATGACCAGTGCCACTGTCCCAGAAGAAGCTGCAGCAGCGGACATGCCATGAAGAGTTGGCAGCTGCGTACCACATTAAGATCATCACCTACATGAGAACAGGGTCATGCCTACATATGGCCCTGGGAAATAGAACCCAGAAAGCAGAAAGTTGTGACAGTCCCTACATGGGGCACCTCAGGACTGGTATCTCCCCTTTTCGATGGCCATTTCATCCCCACCCCCACCCCCACCCCTGACTTTGGTCAAGTTGGGAGCATAAAAGGATCCAGTGTGAGTACCCTAAAGCAGCTATAACACATACCTGCCCATACATGGGGGATATCACAACAGATACCCATTCTCTCAGCATTCTGGAGGGTGCATGTCTAAAATCTACATGTCCATAGGGCTGTACCCACCCTGGTAGCTCCCCGCCCCTCACCTTACCACCATCCTTACTGTCCTGCCGACACATCCTCCATCTCTGCCTCTGTCGTCACATGGTAGCCTCCTCTGCTTCCCATTCATCACATGGTCTGAGAAGTCATGGGCAATGGAACAGGAACCGACTCCAGCCCAGATGGGCTCAGCCTCATCGAGTCCCAGGACTTAAGGTGCCACTTCCAAATAACATCACTCATAGACACTGGGGTGCAGGATTTCAACCCCTCCTTCTGAAAGGAGACAACAGGGTCTTGGCCAACTCCTCCCTCAGCACAGAACCAGGAACAGTGTTGTAGGTTCTCAAGACTGATTCTAGTTGAACTGCTATTAAGTGTGCTAATTAATTTCCTCATTGGTGTAACAAAATACCTGATGGAAGCGGCCTAAGGAAAGAGGGACTGGTTCAGGCTCGTGGTTTTGCTAAGGCTCGTGGTTTACGAGGCAGAGAGGGAACAAATGGCGGCACATTCAGCAGCCATACACAGTGCTCCCAGGAGACAGGGCACCAGGCGAGAGTCAGGGCCAGGCTATGAACCTCGCACCCTGACCCTGTGGCTCTGTGTCTGCCAGCTAGTCCCCATGTCCAAAATGTCCCACAATCCCTCTGCAGAACGGTGCCAGCAACTGGGGTCTGACTGTTTAAACACGTGTGTGCCTTTTAAATGAGAACTTCTAGGAAGAAGCTGTCTGTGAGGGCCGGTGGGCTGGTCAGAACCGCAGGCGTGAGGAAAGGTTGGAATGTTGCAGATCCAGAACCTCTGTAATGGGGAAAGGTTGGAATGTTACAGATCCAGAAGCTAATCACCTGATCTCGGGCTAGTTTCAGCCCCCCAGAAATGTTTGCTTACCTCTGTGTCAGAACTAACATCCTGTATCATAGATTAAAATCTTTTGAAATCTATCAACTCAGCAGACCCCTAGCTACCACCAACCCAAAAGCTAAGAATATCATCAGATAGCCTCTTGGACCTATAGGACAGTTACCCACATCCTTAACTCTAACTACCTCTAGTTAGATGTAGCCACTAATGTATTTTAAACTGGCCTTGATGTATGACTTTCTTCTGTCAAACTATTAAAAACTTCACAAAATGGCTGACTCATTAGAACATGGAATCTGGGGTAACCTGCATCTAGATGTATTCCCGGAGCCATGTTCATCCAAAATGGCTCCAGAATAAATTCTCTCTCTAGTCCTGTTTTTGTGGTTACAGCCTCTAGGGGGCACTTCACATTCAAACCATAACAAACAGTAGGCAGACACCCAACTGAAGGGGGAGACCTGCCTCTGCTGTCCGGAGTGTTGAGTGTCTTTGTGTCCAGGATGCAAGGTGGCCACAAGCTTCCATTGACTCGCATATGTCTTTGCCTCCGTTATATTTAGTAATAAGATGCGATGAAGCAATCATCTTCATCACGGAGAAGAAGTGGGGAAGGAGGGAGGGCAGGAAGGGAGGGGTAAGGAAGGGAGGAGAGGGGGGAAAACACTCTCAGAGAAGGTAAATCCGGATATCAAATGTGGGGTAGCCCTGTGGTTGCCCCAGGTTCACAACCCTCCCTCAACTCAGGAGAGCAGCTTCCTCCCGTTTTCTTTTTATTAAGACCCGTTCTCTGCCCCGACCCTGGACTAAAGACAAAAAGAGTCTGAAGGGCAGACCTTGGAGGCCAGACTCCTAGACCGGGGAGAAAGTAATGAGCCAGGAACAGTAATCAGCCACTAATGGGAACGCCAATAGCCTCTCTGACACCCTGCCGAACGAGTCTGCAGAGAGAAAGACGAGAGTTATCTCACTGTGAAATCCAGAAAAGCCAGGAGCCGTACTCTGAATCACAGCCACACCACCACCACCCCATATCTTCACACGAATACAGAAATGCCTGGCCTCACTGGAAATGGTCCTCACCAAAGCTAAGAGCCCTCTAGGCTAAGCATTGGGCAGAGGACAGGTGTCAAGGGGACTGAAAACATTTCTGAAATGATCAGATTGTCCCTCTGCATCCCGTGGGGCTTATTTAGACATTTAAAAAAAAAAAAGGAAATAATGGGACATTTTCCACCCACTAAGTGGCTAATGGTCCCGCTAATCACCAGGTCTCCTTGGAAGCGTTTTGTTAATGACTGGTGTGAGCAGCTCAGACCAGACTTGGGGCTTCCAAATCCATACTTCTGTAGACATTTCCTGTAACTCAGTGTTAGGGACCAGGTGCTCCCCCGGCTTGCCTTCAGTGACTCAGTGCCAGCAGCCACCACGTCATTATCAGCAGCCAAATGTGACACATTGTCTCGGCCACCACCAGTCGAGTACCCTTTATAAAGTCCTCACCATCACAGCTCCCTCGTCCCCACTCAGAGGCAACCCCCACCAATAAACCTCTGCGTGAGGTCTGTTGCATGGTGTGATCTTTTCGGCATTCCTTGGCCCCCATCTGCGGGGGTTCTGCCACCTCCAAACCCTAACACTCAGACTTTTCAAAAACGGGAATTGGAGGGGAGGGAATTCGGAGCTGGATTTGACCAATGCACGTTATATGTGTGGATAAAATTCTCAAACAATAATAAAAGAGATTTTTTTTTAAAAAAATGCCTCCTTTAGTAAATGTTTTTGTTACAGGCTGGTAAGATGGCTTCGCAGGTCAAGGCCCTGGTTCCCAGGCCTGAGGACCTGAATTATCCTGAGTCCCACGTTGTCGAAGGAGTGAACCAACTCCCCAAAATTTTTTGGCTGACCTCCACACGTGTGCTGTGGCACACACACACACACACACACACACACACACACACACACACACACTAAAACAAATGTAAAATATTCTTTCCTAATAAATAAAACATTATAAAGCTGTCTCTTGAAGGAAAGGGTTTACATTATTGGCTCACTCATGTCTCCTTCTCTCACACAGGCTCGCCAGAGAAGGGCCCCATGTGTGACCCCATCCCCAACATGCGCTTAGCACCTGAAGAGAGGCTGAATGTGCACCTGTCAGAGGAATGAAGAGCAGTGTGGGTGTGTGAACTGCAATGCATGTGCAAGACCGAAGGGCAGCCTGGGTGCCTGGCTGCGCATGTGCAGAATCAAAATTCAAAGAAGTTCCTGAGAAACCAGGAAATATAACACACAGTTCAAGCCACCAAACACGACTTTCCCATGAACTAAGTTTCGCCTGATTCTATCGTTTTCCCAGAGGACCAGCAGCCATTTCTGGTTTCATTCAGTTCCTTTCTTATTTTATTTCTAATTTGTTTTTTTAAAAACATCCCATCTATTGGATGAATGCACATTTAGCAAACAGGAATAAACGGGCATCTCTCATTAGAACAAGATGGCTTTCATCTTTCTCCTGGACTTTAGTCCTGTTTTTCTACTTGATGCTCATCACTGCGTCCCAGGGAACAAAGACTTAGGGAAAACGCTGCTGTTTTGGAGTTTCCTCTTGGGAGCCCTGTGGAGTTAGGCAGAGGACACTCTGGCTGTTGTCTCATTCTGAGAGGAAAGAAGGGAGCTCTCTCGGGTGCTTGCAAATACCTGCTCTTTTTTAACATGTTCACCCCAATTTCCACTCTTTCTGCCTCGTACACAGCTAGCCTGCTCTGGAATTAAATAAATAAATATATACGTGTGTGCATGTGTATGCCTGAGTTTGTGTGTGGGGTGCATGGGCATGGGAGGTCAGAGGTCAGTCACGGGCATCTTCCTCAGTCACTGGCTTCTGTCGTCATGTTGATACACCTGGGAAGAGGGACCCTCCGTTGAGGATTTGCCTCCATCGGGTTAGTGTGTGGGCAAATCTATGGGGATCTTTAGAATTAATGATTGATGTGGGAGGGCCCAGCCCACTGTGGATGGTGCCACCTCTGGGCTGGTGGCCCTGGGTTCGATAAGAAAGCAGGCTGAGCAAGCCATGAGGAGCAAGCCAGTAAGCAGTGCTCCTCCATGGTCTTCGTTTCGGTTCCTGCCTTGACTTCCCTCAGTGATGGAGAGTGATCAAGACATGTAAGCTGAAATAAACCCTTTCCTCCCTGGGGTTGGTTCTGGCCAGAATTTTATCACTGCAAAGGGAAGCAACTAACTCAGCTCCCTTGCTGCCTTGTTTTGTTTTCCTGAGACAAGGTCCCTCGCTTTTACCTCAAACACATCAATCCAGCTAGTTGGCCAGAGAACCCCAGAGATCCTCCTGGAAACCCTACCAGCACCACGATTCCAGGCCACCATGCCTGACTTTTTTTTTAATGTGGGTTCTAGAGGGTCGAACTCAGACCCTCAAACTTGCATGGCAAACACTTTATTGGCTGCGTCACCCCCTTAGCCCACGAATTTCCTCACATAAGAACCTTGGAAAGCCATTTCTTCATCATACCACGCCCTCTCCTTATAGTACATGTCCCTTCCATGTTGATGCCATGTAGGTTAAATTTCTAGTCAGGAGACAGGAAGCCACATTGAGCTACATAATATGAAGGGGAAATGTGTGCATTTTAGCTCATTTTCCATTGTTTCTCAATTGGGCAGCCTTTTGCATTGTAGAGTACAAAGCTGCTATCAGAAACCTTATTTGTCTTATGCTCCCAAAAGAAAGGAAGTACCGTTAGGCCGAGGAATGTAATTTAACACCCATAGTAGAAGATGGAGGGGATTATTATTTTGTGTGGTCCAACACCTATAGTAATCATGAAAATAGGGGTGTAAATGGGCAGACACTTGTCTCCCGCCTGCCAGTTCCCAAATAACCACCCAGATGCTTAATATCACTTATAAATGCTCGGCTGACAGTTCAGGCTTATTGTTAACTAGCTCTTACAATTAAATTAACCCATAATTCTTACCTATGTTTAGCCACATGGCTTAGTACCTTTTCTCAGTACAGCATTTTCATCTTGCTTCCTCTGCATCTGGCTGGCGACTCCTGACTCTGCCCTTCCTCTTCTCAGAATTCTCCTTGTCTGGCTCTCACGCTCAGTCTCTTCTTGCCCAGCTATCAGCCAATCAGCCTCATAATTAACAATGAGCCTAATCCACAGCATAGGGAGGGGCGAGTATCCATGTTGAGTGGTCCTGAAAATAGTCAGGGATTTAGCAGGTAATTATCAAACACTGAACAGATAGGGGAGTATAAAGGAATGTAACTTTGAAATTATATATTGATTTCCCTCTTCTGTGTCCAGACACGTTCTAAATAACAATGTCCAGACATCGTCCTTACTGTGGTGTGCTTTAATTATTGTATATCGTTAATTGTTGGGACATTGATGCACTCAGAAACGGACCCCGATTCAAGTGTGTGGTAGCCAGTCACGAAGGAGGGCCTGGAGAATGGCTGGGACTATGCATAAGTCAAGGGGAAAGGGGACACAGGATGGCAGGGCACAGGTGAGTTCAAAGGAGAGGCTGGCAATAATTCTGGCCTTCGAAGGGCCAACAGGATAAATATATCTGCTGGGAATGTGTTTGGTCACGGTCACATAAAACCGATCAGGATCCCTTAATCCTGAGGCAATGATTTACTTGAGGGGAAACACTGAAGCACACATACATTGTTCAACAGTCTCGTGATGCCATGGGGCTCTTGGCTCATCCATCTTTCTCATCCTATACCCTCAGCAGATTGGCTATAGCGTGCAGACCTCACAGTCACAAGATAGCTACTGCATACTCAAACAGCACAGCACACCCTCCCAGGACAGAACTCCAAACACTGGGTGAGAGGAGAGGGGACAGAGATGGGACTGTCTTGCACAGCTTCCACTTTTGACAGACAGAAAAATCTTTCATCCGAAGTTTTTGGTGTGTCTCAGTGAGTTGCGTGATACGTCCTAACACCAGTGATGGAGGAATGAAGCTACCATGACTGGGTGCCAGGGTGCCCACCCTGGATTAAGGGATAGGTAGATGGTTCACACCTAATAGTCAAACAAAACTCACTAAGGATTGACAGTTTATCATCAGCCACAAAATAGAGGGCTCATGCATCTATTAACAGGAGAGACAGTTTTAGGTGACGGGCCCGTTGGATGCCAATGGAGTTTATTTGAATGGAGCTTAGCAGCTCAGCAAAGAAGTATCTTCCCTTCCCAGTCATTTGGGGACACGCTACGCTTCCAGGGGACGTCCTTGTTTGCTCTGTGTGTCTCAGTGTCTCCCCACTCATTCCTCACACTCTGGTATCTGGTGTCCCCGCTCAATGAAGAGGTGCCAGGCTCGTTCCACGACAACTGCTGTTCTATTGCATCTGTTTTCGCAACTACCTTCTATTTAAAGAAAATACTTTGGGTTTTTAATGAAGAAAATCGGCTAGGTTCACGGATGTTTAATAACGTGTTTTACCCACGTGTGTGTGTGTGTGTGTGTGTGTGTGTGTGTGTGTGTGTGTGTGTGTGTATGGATGTGTGCATGTACGTGCTCATGTATGTGACATGGAGGCCAGAGGACCATCTCGATTTTGACACATAGTCTCTCAGTGGTCTGGATCTCAGCAGTTAGGCTAGACTGGTGGCGGTAAACCCCAGGATTCTCCTGTCTCCACCTCCCCAGCTCTGAGATTACAAGCACACACATCTATGCTCAGTTTTTGACCTGGTTTCCAAGTTCAGAGTCAAGTCCTCAGCTCAAACACTGAGCTACCTCTCCCATCCCAAGCAGTATGTTTTAAAAGAAACATTAATTAATTAAGAAAACGAATGGCCTGGCCAGTGTGACTTAAACATCATAAGGGTGTTACACGCAGAGTGGGAATTTGGAGCTTTGAGAAGAGAAAGTTTAAAAAGAGAACATTTGACAGCTTTTAAAACCTTCGGGACAACCCAGAACCTATTAGGGAAAGCTGAAAACTGTGTCTCCACTAATTCAAGGCAAAATCAACAGAAACCCAAAGCTTATGTCAGCTTATTTCCTACAAAACATCCTAAGCTTTTTTTTCCCCTCTGAAGCTGTCCCTACCACTCCAAATAAAGTTGCCAATGGCTCCCCACAGCTGCAGGTTTGTGTGTAGCTGGGTACCAGGTTTTCTATGACCCACCAGCATCACATCAGTGGGTCCTATTGACCACCATAGTCAAGATTATCGTCTTTTGAAGATAAGCTGGAATTCGCAAAGGTCAGAATATATTGATTTCCATCCTGAAATTTAGAACCATGATGATGGGGAAAGCCATGTGCTGACACGGATCAGTCAGTGATGTGTCTCTCTTTGCAGAGTAAAAGTAAGAACTGAGCTAAAGACAAATGTTATCTTGTAAAACATCCAGATGACACTGGGTTCCAAAACAAGTGGGGAGTGTATGTGTGAGTGAGTGAATGTGTGTGTGTGTGTGTGTGTGTGTGTGTGTGTGTGTGTAAGTGTATAAGTGTGTGTGTAAGTGTGTAAGTGTGCATGCATGTAGAGGTCAGAGGACAACCTTGGACATCATTCCTCTGGAGACATTCATTTTGTTTTATTAAATTTTTAAAATAATTCTATTTACTTATCTTTGGGGGGTACACACATGCCACAGCACAGATGTAGAGGTCAGAGGACAACTTGCAGGAGTTGGTTCTCTTCTACCTGCTGCATCTTGGGGACTGAATTCAGGAAGTCGGGCTTGGTGACAAGCGCCCATGCACACCAAGCCATCTTGCCAGCACCTGTTTTGTTTGTTGAGGTAGGGTCTCTCACTGGGACCTAGGGCTTGCTGATTATGGGCTGGCCATGAACCCAGAGATCCCTGGGTCTCTGACTCCCTTCTGCTGGGATGAGAAGTGCATGCTGCCACTCCAGGCTTTTGAGCGGGCTCTGGGGACCAAACTCAGGTCCCCAGGCTTATACAGCAGTCAGCCATCTCCTCTGGCTAACAAATGGACTTAAAAGGATGGGGAGGTGGTTTCTGGGTGGCCGACATCAGGGAAGCTGACCTCTGGTGCATACCAGGGCAGCTAGTGCAGGATGAAGGTCATGCTCCCGGGGACATCAGGGCCAAGGAGACATAAGTGGGCCATGCTGAGGATTTATGTTGCCTGTTCTGCCTCCGCACAGAAGCCTGGCATGCCCATGCAAGCTGGAGGAGAACCATTTCCATCCATAGAGATTGCTATGGTCTAAATGTTGGTTGTCACCACCCACCACTTCACACACACCAGCAGCCAGGGAAGATGCTAAGGTCCAGATACCTACGATGATGCACTGGAAGGCAGATCTTTGGAGGGGATGAGGATGACTTCAGCAGTCCTGAATATAGAGTTCTCCTAAATATGATTAGTGCCCTTATATCAAAGAAGCCCCCAGAGAGCTTGCTAAACCTTCCTACCACAGAAGATGCTCCACTTACAAGCCTTCAGCAAATCTGCCAGGGCCATGATCCAGGACTCTCAGCCTCCTTATCAGCCATCCAGTCTCTGAGATTTCAGTGACAGCAGGCTGGCTGGTTCCTGGGCGAGACAGGGCAAGGCTAGGAATGGTGTAGACATGTAACTTGCTTCTGTTTTGTAATCAGAACAGAACTTGGAAGAACGCCTCTCAGACTAAGCAATATGACATGGCTTTGTTCATCTTGAGCTCAAACTTTAAAGCAAAAGAGAAAGACAGATTTTATGGAAGAGTCAACAGACATGATCACTAATCTCAGTTGCCAACTTCACTGGCTCTGAACTCAATTAACAT